TAGGTGTCAAAGCAGCCAGCTCTTGCCAGCGATCGCTGCGGAGAATTTGTAGCACCCACATCAGCTAGCTTCTGCCAGCGACCTTACCGGAAGGGAAGTACTGCCTAACCCCTAGGCGGAAAACGTTTATATACAAGCAAGACACTCCGGTATCCTCACGCACGTTTTCACACCACTGACTGGAAGCACCGGGGAAGCCGAAGGATCGGCTACCAGGGAGGAACCGGCTAAGGCCATGGATCCGGCCGCCAGCCAGCCAAATCACCTCCGCCCAGGCGGCGCCTAGGCCGGCAGGATGCTCGGGGGCTCGAATCTGGCCCAGCTCTCAGACTCTGACGACCTGCAGGCGTTCGCTCAGAGAGCGAAAATTGCAAGGTCCCCCTCTGGGTCTGCACCCCATTGCGACGCGAACATGGACGCCGACACGCCCAAAAGAGGCAGGGAGCAAGGTAGCCCTGCTAGCACGGAAAGGGCGAAAAAGAAGAAGAAGAAGGTCCCCAAAAGCCTACAGGCCTTGGCGTCCGAAATGGGAGAGATCCTAGACGGGCTGGTCCTCGAGATCATAGAGAGGAGACCGGCAGCGCGGTACATTAACCAGGCGACAAGGGACTCTATAGTAATCCTTAAAGAGTTGCACTCGTCAATGTGCGCGAGGATTCAAGAGGAGCAGCTCAAAGTCCACACACCTGAGACGGCGGACCAACAGACATCCCCGTTCGTAGGCAAGCTAACGGAGGCATCGACACAAACGGTAGAAGCACCGCAGGCAGAGACATGGTCTACTGTCAGCAGCAGGCCCAGAAGCCGGCCTAGCCAAGCGCCGGTAGTACGACCAAACAGACCCAGAGAGACTACATCCCACCCGCCCAAGCGTAATAGGCCAGACGCTATTATAATTGCCACTACAGGAGACCTGTCTTACAGCGACATTCTCAGGATGGTGACCAGGAGGGATGACGGCAAGCTGAAGGAAGTCGGCAACAATGTCGACAGAGTCCGACGGACAGCAAAGGGGAATGGCTAGAGCTGAATGGTGCGCTAAAGGAGAACACAGCCCAGCTAACGGAGGATATAAGCCAGGTGCTTGGCACTCAGGCAGGCGTCCGGGCGGTGGTAAGCGAAGCGTTTGTCGAGATCCGCGACATCGACGACCTAGCCACGAAGGAAGAGATCGCCGAGGCAATGTCTGCCCAATTGGAGCATCCGGTGGGTGTAGGAAGCATCAGGGCCCTGCGCCCGGGATACGGAAGTTCGCAGGTGGCTATCGCTGGACTCGCGTACCCATTGGAGAAGCGTCTCACTGAGGTGGGCAAAATAAAGATTGGCTGGACGAGATGCAGGATCGTAGAACGATCAGGCCAGAGGCGCTGCTTTAAATGCCTAGAGTTCGGGCACATTGCAGCTAGGTGTACGAGCAACATCGACCGCAGCAACTGCTGCTACAAGTGTGGAAAGAGTGGCCACAAAGTAGCCGGATGCACGGACGAGCCAAGCTGCTTTCTCTGTGCAGAAAAGCATCCGGCAGCGACTGACCACATAGCTGGCAGCAAGAGATGCCCGGGTAGACGAGCAGATACTAAGAAACGGATAGCAAAGTGAGGTTTTTGCAGCTAAACCTGAACCACTGCGAAGCTGCGCAGAATCTACTCTGCCAGCTAGAGAAACTACAGCGGATGTGGCAGTTCTCTCCGAACCATACCGCAGAACCAGCAACACCAACTACATTCTTGATAGCACGAAAACGGCAGCGATATGGGTATGCGGGCACTCCACCCCCCAAGCTGAGTCTGTTCGCAGGGGAAACGGCTACGTAAGAAGAGCCAAGGTTGGCCAGTTTTGGCTGTACAGCTGCTACCTGGCACCACGCCTATCTATCCAGGAGTTCGGAGCCATTCTCGATGAGATAGCAGACGACGCTAGGGGACGGCCAAACATCATCATGGCCGGCGACTTTAACTCTTGGTCAGAGGAATGGGGATCGAGGTCCACCAACGCTAGAGGTCGCACTCTCATGGAAGCCTTTGCCACTCTAGAGCTACAACTTCTCAACACCGGATCAGAGCACACCTTCTCCCGAGCTGGGTTGGGATCTATCATCGACCTTACCTTCTGCAGCACCGATCTCTTTGGGAGAACAGCGTGGGGACTCAGCAGCGCATACACGGCTAGTGACCACAACGCTATCATCTGCAGCATCGAGGCCCACCCACAAGGGACAGCTCTCCAACCAAGGACGACCTTCAATGCCAGAACCCTCAGGCCGGATATCTTCTTGTCAGAGCTGAGCATTCCCGAGGCCCCGGGAACCGCAGAGGACTGCGCAACGAACCTCATCGGCGCATTGACAACGGCATGTAGGGCAAGCACAAGGCAGCAAAGAAGCCACTCTCGCCACCGCGAGCCGGTCTTTTGGTGGAGCATGGAGATTTCCGAGGCTCGCACCGAATGCATTCGTGCTAGAAGACGCCAAACTCGCGAGAGGGGATCCCAAGCCTTCCCATTGATGTCCCAGGAGTACGCAGCGAAACGCCGTGCTCTTAAAAGGCTTATCCGAGGAAGCAAGAGGAGAACGACCCCTGGGGCCTCGCCTACAAGGTGATAGTCAAGAAGCTTAACGCGGTGAAGCCCCTTACCACGGCTGACCCCGTTAAAATGAAAACCATCGTCGAAAGCCTCTTCCCTACCGTCGACCCAGCTGTCAGCCCGTCGCGAACTCCTTATCGCCACATCGGATGGAGCGACATAACGGAGAGCGAAATCCTGGAAATCGCTGGAGCAACCCCAACCGGCAAGGCGCCAGGCCCGGATGGCATCCCTGACACCGCAGTCAAGCTGGCAATGACCGCGCACCCGTCGGATTTCGCGCAGGCTTTCAACATGTGCCTCCGTGAAGGAGTCTTCCCAACGCCTTGGAAGCTCCAGAAGCTAGTCCTGCTGCCGAAGCCTCAAAAGCCTCCCGAGGACCCCTCGTCGTACAGGCCCATCTGCCTAATCGACAACGTGGGCAAAGCACTGGAGCGCTGCATTTGCAGGAAGCTCCAAGCCGAAATTGCGCAGGCAGGTGACCTGTCCCCCATGCAGTTCGGTTTCAGGAAGGCAAGATCGACAACTGACGCGATCCGCATAGTGACGGACATCGCGGCAAAAGCCATAGAGGGCACCAGGTGGCTTGGAGGGCGGAAGCAGTACTGCCTCATTGTCACATTGGATGTCAAAAACGCATTTAATTCGGCGAGGTGGGACGTCATCCTCAGGTCCCTCAAGCGGCTGGGAATCCCAGACTACCTGGTGGCCATTATCGAGGACTACTTTCAAAGCCGGAGGCTGCTGTACGACACCGACTGCGGCACCGTGGAGTACCAGGTCACATGCGGCGTTCCCCAAGGCTCTGTCCTCGGCCCGACCCTCTGGAACGTAATGTACGATGCTATCTTCAAGCTACAGCTCCCTGCCGATACTCGGACAATAGGCTTTGCAGACGACGTCGCGTTGGTAGTGGTTGCCAAGCACCTCGGAGAAGTGGAGGCCAGGTGCAACCAAGCGGTGGCCGTGATCCAAGAGTGGCTGACATCAGTAGTCCTAAGGCTGGCTGATCACAAGACGGAAGCGGTGTTGATTTCCAGCCGCAAGAAAGTGGAGGTTGCGACGGTGCGTGTCGGCTCCGTCGAGATCACATCCTCGCGAGCAATCCGCTACCTTGGGGTACTGCTGGACACTCGCCTCTCCTTCCGCGAGCACCTCGAAGCAGCCAGCAAGAAGGCAGCAGTCCTAGGCAGGGCCCTGTCACGCATGATGCTGAACACGAGGGGACCCAAACAAGGCCGCAGACCCCTGCTTCAGTCAGTCCGAAAGGCGGTCATGATGTACGCAGCCCCAATCTGGGCTGAGGCGGCGAGGATCAAGTCCTACAGGAAGGGGCTAGATGCGACGCACCGGTTGGGAGCCGGAACCGCATCGATTCGTCCGACTTGGCCACCAGGAATATATAAATTATTGTTGCACAATCTCCGTTTTCATCCGTTGGTCCCGCATCTAACTTAATATAGTAAATTGTAAATAGAAATTGTCCTTGACCCTCAACAAAATTTGCTAATAAACAGATTTAATGGGCTAATGCCACAGATTTTCGTTCTTTATGGGGTCGGAAGGGGGCGTGGCGATATTTTAAGACACTCTTGTGGCAGTGTGATGTCACATAAGTCTGGAAACAATATTTGGTTGCTCTAGCTCTTATAGTCTCTGCGATCTAGTCGCTCATCAAGACGGACAGACGGATATGGCTATATCGACTCGGCTATTGCTGTTGATCAAGAATATAATTATATAGAGTGGAAGTAAATTGGTTGACCAACTCTCCGAAAATAATATCTTACCGTTTTGCCGTTGCTGACCCACTACATGTAGCAAAATTAGAAATACATACAATTTTATTTATGAGTAGCTTATTTTTTAAGAGTAGATGCCGCTAAAAAGTTCATGGCTAAAAGTAATATCTGATAATCTAATAATAATATTATTATCTTATCTAATATTCCCCTTAACTCTTTTTGAGTACGGGTATAAAAATTAACTTAATGTGCTAATTAATACAAGAAATGTGGTCTGACTGGTTTCTCATATCTTACAATTTTTATGATTGACGTCAAAGTGAGGGTCTATTTTATTTGATGCATCAGCTATTGCTTCATTTATTTTTAACCTAATATCCATTAACTTGGAATTGGCAGCCGCGGCGGACTCTCCTTCATTGTCGACCCGGTGCCACGGTCGCATCCAAGGACTCTCGAATTTGACGTCTTCTCGCCCTCGGCTTTCAAACCATTCCTTTTACCGTCTTAAGCTTAGTTTTGTACCGTGCGTATTTAAATTAATAACTAACAAATAAGGAGTTGTACGCCATGAAATCCATATTCTCGGCCTTCTTCATTCAGGTCGATACAATAAAATTTTTTAACATAACTAGTATTAAAAGTTCATTACTTATTTTTTAATTGTTAAATTTGTTTTTAGGTGAAATGGCATGGAGCGAACTTTTGTCAAATTTATCAACAAATCCCTATTTTGGTGCTGGCTTCGGTTTGTTTGGAATCGGCGCTGGTGCTGCAATATTAAGAAAAGGCCTTCAAGGGGGAATAATTCTGTTTCGTCGACATATGATGATAACTTTAGAAGTTCCATGTAGAGATAAATCATATCAGTGGCTATTAAAATGGATAACAATTAAAGGAGCCCGCAAAACTCAACATTTAAGTGTAGAAACAAACTGTATCCAAAACGACAATGGCCAAATTAAAACCAGCTATAATTTTATACCAAGTATTGGAAAACACATATTTAAATATAAAGGAAATTGGATTCAAGTGGAGCGGACTAGAGAACAGCAAACATTGGACATGCACATGGGCGTGCCTTGGGAATCGGTGACATTAACAGCATTTGGAAACAATAAACAGATTTATTCTGATATTTTAGATGAAGCTCGCTATTTGGCTTTACAAGCTACCGATGTTAAAACTCTTTTTTATACTGCTATGGGCGCAGAATGGAGGGCTTTTGGTCATCCCCGACGACGTCGTCCAATTAGCTCGGTAGTATTAGATCATGGAGTTTCTGAAAAGATTATTGGTGATTGCAATGACTTTATTCAAAGTTCTATTTGGTATACTCAACGGGGGATTCCTTATCGTCGTGGATACTTACTTTACGGACCCCCAGGTTGCGGAAAATCTAGTTTCATAACTGCTTTGGCTGGAGAATTGGAATATAGCGTTTGTTTATTGAATTTGTCTGAAAGAGGCCTTACCGATGATCGACTTAACCATCTTTTGAATGTAGCACCAGAGCAAACCATAATTTTACTTGAAGATATTGATGCAGCATTCGCTTCTCGGGAGTTAACTTTGCAACAAAAATCTGCATACGATGGCATTAACAGAATAACTTTTAGTGGATTGTTAAACTGTAAACTGGTTGGTAAACTATCAATTAGCAAGAAATGTATTTATGAAAACTAATTTTTGATAAGACGGAAATACCCACGCCCCATTAGGAAGTTCCAGCTAGAATTTGCGCAGCGTGTACAAATTCAAGGTTTTTTTATGAAACATAAATTATCTTCCCCACAAACTGTTATTAATTGTAGTGAAGATATTTGGGAGAATTGTTTAAGCATTAATAAATAATCCACTTTTCTTAATCCGAACCATATAGTATGTCTTTATTTTATTTATTTATTTATTATTGAGCGGCACTGCAGCAGCACCTTTTCCTGAGAATAATAGAAAGGGCCGTTCCGAGCCCTGATTTAAACCAACCTCAAAATTGAATCTGAAAAAAATAGGTCAGGGCAACAACAAATAGTGGATTCTTCTGAACAGGTGTGGAAGCCCGATTTGGTAATCGATAAATATCTGTTAAACATAACAGAGGGCTTTTTGTATGAGCTGGCACTAACGCGTGGGTATAACAGCAGTGAATTTTTCGCTTAACAGTACAGGGAGTAAGTAAACGTTCGTTGGTAATTCTCTAAGATACCGCGTTTTCAGTTTCTTTGTATCTTCAAAATTGTGGCTGCCACAGATTTTCGTTCTTTGTGGGGACGGAAGGGGGCGAAATTTTAAGATACACTTGTGGCAGTGTGATATCACATGAGGCTGGAAACAAAAGTTGGCTGCCCTAGCTCTTATAGGCTCTGAGAACTAGTTGCTCATCGGGACGGACGGATGGACAGATGCACTATGGGTAATTTTTTTTTGGAGTTCTACACGCGAATTTTTCGAGTGCGGACGCGTCGAACAGCTGCTCTGCATAACAAACCCAAAATCGCGATAGAGACCTGCGGAAAATACGGCAAATTAACACAGGCGTTGCTGACACCGCGTGCTCACCTGGGAGGATCAAGGCACCCACTTTCCTGGCTCCGAAAACCGGGCTTCTCGCCGCTCTTCCACGGTCACCCAAAGGGGCAGGGAGGGGCTGGGGCTCACGTCGACTGCGCTCTCGGCCTTCTTTTTTCTTCTTTTCTTCTACGATTCCCATTTTCTCGGCTGCTTCACATTTTTCACTCCAGGCACCTCAGCTGTGCAACTGGTATACCAGGGCTGGAGAGCGCATGTCGCTAACCAGCTGATCGAGTGCAGTGCTGTGAAGGGACACTAGGTGTCAAAGCAGCCAGCTCTTGCCAGCGATCGCTGCGGAGAATTTGTAGCACCCACATCAGCTAGCTGCTGCCAGCGACCTTACCGGAAGGGAAGTACTGCCTAACCCCTAGGCGGAAAACGTTTATATACAAGCAAGACACTCCGGTATCCTCACGCACGTTTTCACACCACTGACTGGAAGCACCGGGGAAGCCGAAGGATCGGCTACCAGGGAGGAACCGGCTAAGGCCATGGATCCGGCCGCCAGCCAGCCAAATCACCTCCGCCCAGGCGGCGCCTAGGCCGGCAGGATGCTCGGGGGCTCGAATCTGGCCCAGCTCTCAGACTCTGACGACCTGCAGGCGTTCGCTCAGAGAGCGAAAATTGCGAGGTCCCCCTCTGGGTCTGCACCCCATTGCGACGCGAACATGGACGCCGACACGCCCAAAAGAGGCAGGGAGCAAGGTAGCCCTGCTAGCACGGAAAGGGCGAAAAAGAAGAAGAAGAAGGTCCCCAAAAGCCTACAGGCCTTGGCGTCCGAAATGGGAGAGATCCTAGACGGGCTGGTCCTCGAGATCATAGAGAGGAGACCGGCAGCGCGGTACATTAACCAGGCGACAAGGGACTCTATAGTAATCCTTAAAGAGTTGCACTCGTCAATGTGCGCGAGGATTCAAGAGGAGCAGCTCAAAGTCCACACACCTGAGACGGCGGACCAACAGACATCCCCGTTCGTAGGCAAGCTAACGGAGGCATCGACACAAACGGTAGAAGCACCGCAGGCAGAGACATGGTCTACTGTCAGCAGCAGGCCCAGAAGCCGGCCTAGCCAAGCGCCAAGCGTACGACCAAACAGACCCAGAGAGACTACATCCCACCCGCCCAAGCGTAATAGGCCAGACGCTATTATAATTGCCACTACAGGAGACCTGTCTTACAGAGACATTCTCAGGATGGTGACCAGGAGGGATGACGGCAAGCTGAAGGAAGTCGGCAACAATGTCGACAGAGTCGACAGGGAGAGCTCTTGCTAGAGCTGAATGGTGCGCTAAAGGAGAACACAGCCCAGCTAACGGAGGATATAAGCCAGGTGCTTGGCACTCAGGCAGGCGTCCGGGCGGTGGTAAGCGAAGCGTTTGTCGAGATCCGCGACATCGACGACCTAGCCACGAAGGAAGAGATCGCCGAGGCAATGTCTGCCCAATTGGAGCATCCGGTGGGTGTAGGAAGCATCAGGGCCCTGCGCCCGGGATACGGAAGTTCGCAGGTGGCTATCGCTGGACTCGCGTACCCATTGGCGAAGCGTCTCACTGAGGTGGGCAAAATAAAGATTGGCTGGACGAGATGCAGGATCGTAGAACGATCAGGCTAGAGGCGCTGCTTTAAATGCCTAGAGTTCGGGCACATTGCAGCCAGGTGTACGAGCAACATCGACCGCAGCAACTGCTGCTACAAGTGTGGAAAGAGTGGCCAAAAAGTAGCCGGATGCACGGACGAGCCAAGGTGCTTTCTCTGTGCAGAAAAGCATCCGGCAGCGACTGACCACATAGCTGGCAGCAAGAGATGCCCGGGTAGACGAGCAGATACTAAGAAACGGATAGCAAAGTGAGGTTTTTGCAGCTAAACCTGAACCACTGCGAAGCTGCGCAGAATCTACTCTGCCAGCTAGAGAAACTACAGCGGATGTGGCAGTTCTCTCCGAACCATACCGCAGAACCAGCAACACCAACTACATTCTTGATAGCACGAAAACGGCAGCGATATGGGTATGCGGGCACTCCACCCCCCAAGCTGAGTCTGTTCGCAGGGGAAACGGCTACGTAAGAAGAGCCAAGGTTGGCCAGTTTTGGCTGTACAGCTGCTACCTGGCACCACGCCTATCTATCCAGGAGTTCGGAGCCATTCTCGATGAGATAGCAGACGACGCTAGGGGACGGCCAAACATCATCATGGCCGGCGACTTTAACTCTTGGTCAGAGGAATGGGGATCGAGGTCCACCAACGCTAGAGGTCGCACTCTCATGGAAGCCTTTGCCACTCTAGAGCTACAACTTCTCAACACCGGATCAGAGCACACCTTCTCCCGAGCTGGGTTGGGATCTATCATCGACCTTACCTTCTGCAGCACCGCTCTCTTTGGGAGAACAGCGTGGGGACTCAGCAGCGCATACACGGCTAGTGACCACAACGCTATCATCTGCAGCATCGAGGCCCACCCACAAGGGACAGCTCTCCAACCAAGGACGACCTTCAATGCCAGAACCCTCAGGCCGGATATCTTCTTGTCAGAGCTGAGCATTCCCGAGGCCCCGGGAACCGCAGAGGACTGCGCAACGAACCTCATCGGCGCATTGACAACGGCATGTAGGGCAAGCACAAGGCAGCAAAGAAGCCACTCTCGCCACCGCGAGCCGGTCTTTTGGTGGAGCATGGAGATTTCCGAGGCTCGCACCGAATGCATTCGTGCTAGAAGACGCCAAACTCGCGCGAGGGGATCCCAAGCCTTCCCATTGATGTCCCAGGAGTACGCAGCGAAACGCCGTGCTCTTAAAAGGCTTATCAGAGGAAGCAAGAGGAGAACGACCCCTGGGGCCTCGCCTACAAGGTGATAGTCAAGAAGCTTAACGCGGTGAAGCCCCTTACCACGGCTGACCCCGTTAAAATGAAAACCATCGTCGAAAGCCTCTTCCCTACCGTCGACCCAGCTGTCAGCCCGTCGCGAACTCCTTATCGCCACATCGGATGGAGCGACATAACGGAGAGCGAAATCCTGGAAATCGCTGGAGCAACCCCAACCGGCAAGGCGCCAGGCCCGGATGGCATCCCTGACACCGCAGTCAAGCTGGCAATGACCGCGCACCCGTCGGATTTCGCGCAGGCTTTCAACATGTGCCTCCGTGAAGGAGTCTTCCCAACGCCTTGGAAGCTCCAGAAGCTAGTCCTGCTGCCGAAGCCTCAAAAGCCTCCCGAGGACCCCTCGTCGTACAGGCCCATCTGCCTAATCGACAACGTGGGCAAAGCACTGGAGCGCTGCATTTGCAGGAAGCTCCAAGCCGAAATTGCGCAGGCAGGTGACCTGTCCCCCATGCAGTTCGGTTTCAGGAAGGCAAGATCGACAACTGACGCGATCCGCTTAGTGACGGACATCGCGGCAAAAGCCATAGAGGGCACCAGGTGGCTTGGAGGGCGGAAGCAGTACTGCCTCATTGTCACATTGGATGTCAAAAACGCATTTAATTCGGCGAGGTGGGACGTCATCCTCAGGTCCCTCAAGCGGCTGGGAATCCCAGACTACCTGGTGGCCATTATCGAGGACTACTTTCAAAGCCGGAGGCTGCTGTACGACACCGACTGCGGCACCGTGGAGTACCAGGTCACATGCGGCGTTCCCCAAGGCTCTGTCCTCGGCCCGACCCTCTGGAACGTAATGTACGATGCTATCTTCAAGCTACAGCTCCCTGCCGATACTCGGACAATAGGCTTTGCAGACGACGTCGCGTTGGTAGTGGTTGCCAAGCACCTCGGAGAAGTGGAGGCCAGGTGCAACCAAGCGGTGGCCGTGATCCAAGAGTGGCTGACATCAGTAGGCCTAAGGCTGGCTGATCACAAGACGGAAGCGGTGTTGATTTCCAGCCGCAAGAAAGTGGAGGTTGCGACGGTGCGTGTCGGCTCCGTCGAGATCACATCCTCGCGAGCAATCCGCTACCTTGGGGTACTGCTGGACACTCGCCTCTCCTTCCGCGAGCACCTCGAAGCAGCCAGCAAGAAGGCAGCAGTCCTAGGCAGGGCCCTGTCACGCATGATGCTGAACACGAGGGGACCCAAACAAGGCCGCAGACTCCTGCTTCAGTCAGTCCGAAAGGCGGTCATGATGTACGCAGCCCCAATCTGGGCTGAGGCGGCGAGGATCAAGTCCTACAGGAAGGGGCTAGATGCGACGCACCGGTTGGGAGCCCTGCGAGTTTGCTGCGGCTTTCGAACCATCTCGGAAGATGCGGCCCTAGTCATCGCCGGAATGCTCCCAGTGGTGGACCTAGCCGAGGAAGCTAGGGAAATCTCGTTG